CTCGGACGATCGCCCCCAGTGGAACTCTGGTGGAACTACAACCAAAATTCGGTAAAATAGGACTTAATAGGGAGTGGCCAGGCTTTCCGTAGATGGGCTTTGACCATACTCATCAGAATGGGATACCTTCGGTTAATGCGCATGCGCAGCAGTGAATTTTGTGGCATTGCGCATGCGTTAGATTTAAACCATCATTTAAACCATCATTTCAGCATACCAGATTACAAGCAGATTACAAGCCGTAAGTGTTGGTGTATTATATCGCATATTATATACACATTACCTAATTGCATGCCTTGTATAATCACAAGAAATGTTAAGAGACGTTTTCAATGTATTCTTTTTGGCAAGTGGAGTCGTAAAGTCTCGTAATGTCGTGTTAAAACGTTAAATCTTAATTATTCTTATTTCTTTTGATTATTTTAATTTCTTTATTATAAACTGTTTTAATTATTGTTATTTCTTTTGATTTTTTTAATTTCTTATATGTAAAGCACTTTGAATTACCATTGTGTATGAAATGTGCTATATAAATAAACTTGCCTTGCCTTGCCTTGCCTAAATCTGGTGTTAACGAGGTTCTAGCGTTTGGCGCCATCTGACCATAGCATCTGACCGAGATTAAATACATCGACTAATGTTTTGCTTTAAAATGATTAATGCTTATTTTTTCTGCTAACTGTAGTTGAGCCGGACAGTAACAGAGTACATTTACTTGAGTACAGTACTTGAGTACAATTTTGAGGGATCTGTACTTTACTCGAGTATCATTTTTGGGGAGTACTCATGACTTTACTCAAGTACATTTGAGAGGCAAATATTGTACTCTTTACTCCAATACATTTCTATCCATAACCGTGAGTACACGAGTAAAAAAAAAAAAGGGAAAAAAAAGAAAAATCTCGGAAACCCTCAATTTGTTGTTTCCCTCTCAAACGTGATTGGATTGTGCAGGCGCCACTGATTGGGACAGCCTATCAGCAATCACTTTCAGCTTTCCGCCAAAGTCAACTCCATGGTCAGATTTTATATTACACATTAATGTAAGCCAAGCATTTGCTGTGATGTTCTTGAGTATGCGGTGTGTTTAACACAGTCAGGTTCAAATGTGGCAGTGGCGTACACGAGGGATTTGTGATTTCTTAAAAAAAAAAAAAAAACTTTAGGGGGCAAAATATATTTTTACTGATTATGTGAATTACACTGCGCAAACCAAAGTAGGCTACTACCCAGCGGGTGAAGAAGGGTTGGCGCTCAGTCTCAACAGTACATAAAATATTAATTTTGTTTTATTTTATTTTTCGGGTTTGCATTTATGAGGAAAAAACAATGTTATGGACGTGTTCTCCGTTACGGAAGTGAGCGTTCTGAAAGCGGCATAAAAAATGCTTTAAAACTTTCACAGCGACATCAAACTGAAAACACAAAACCTTTCTTTAACCTGAATTTCGTTTTGCATTAATTGTATCTTCATTTTAATCAATGTTTCATCAACCAATTGCCTGAGTTTAATAAATAAGAAGTATATAGCAGACGATAGATAAGAAACGGAGGCGCCGGCACGTGAACTGGATCTCGTCTCATAAATGAACCGAAACTCAGCGTATAAGTATAACTTGCCTCACAGATATGTCTACTTTTAAACAGAAAAATTCAAAACGAAAGAAAACAGACTACAGACTGCTCACTGCTTATGTAATCCGTATGAAATGTGCATTTCTCTCTGGCGCGTTCACTACTGAAGATCGCGAGTCAGCATCGTCAACTTCATCTAGCCGACACTGACAAAGAAAACACTTGTTTATTAACAAGTGTTTATTAAACAATTAAAATATCTCCTTGCTACATTTTACATATTCATAATCATTCCTTTTGTCGGTTCTTTGTGACAGCTTTTAGGTGCTTTATTGGCAGCGCCACCCTTACATGTGGTGTGTGTGTGTGTGTTGTCCCCGCATTTAAAGATGGGACCCCGCAAACATTTAATTAAATTAAATAAAGCAACATGGTAAAAAGATGAAAATGACTTGATTTTACTTTCAATTCCTTTTACATTCTCCAAGGTATTAACATTAACATTTTTCATAACTCCATGTAGGACGTTTCTGTGCATAAATGTAAGCAATGTGGCAGTAGACTAGTAATGCAATATTTAGAAAATGTACTCTTGTACTCTTGATACTCGAGTACTTTTAAAAACAAGTACTTTAGTACTTTTACTTAAGTAGACATCTGACTGTAGTACTTTTACTTGTACTTGAGTAAAATTTAGCAAGGGGTATCTGTACTTTTACTCAAGTAACAAAGCTCTGTACTCTGTCCGACTCTGAGTTTAACCATGGGAAATAAGTGGGGGGAAATTTTTGATTACATTTTAAAGGGGTCATACCCTGCAGACCTAAATAAAGGGCAGAAGCAAAGCCTTAGGAAATACTCATCGAAATTCAGGATTCACGGTCAGTATTTACTATCAAAATACGTCTATACTGACAGGAATATGCACATGTTCATATTTTGTATTATTTATTATTGGTTATGTCAATATTCCTTAAAGATGGAGAACTACTTTTTGGCAGTCACAGACGAGTCATAAAGACAAAGGAGGAGGCTATGAATTTATTTAAAGAATTTCATGCCTCCCCTATTGGAGGACATACAGGAACCTTAAAAACACGTGCTGCCATGTGCTCACGGTTTTACTGGTATGGCATGACAGTGGACATTGACAAATGGGTATGTAGTTTATCTGTTCATCCATAAGCCAACATTTGTGTTTTTATACGTCTATATCTTCATATTAATAGCTATGTGAAACTTACTGTTTGTAATTTGAGCTTTTTTTTTTTTTCAAGATATCTGAATGTGACCAATGTCAATGGGTGGGACCACCCCTGAATGCAGTTAAGACTCTGGACTGCATCAAGGTCACGATCTTTTGTAATCTACTAGATTTTAACAATTCTAAGCATTATTTTATTTAATCTATTATGCATTCAAATCACTATAATAGGTATCTGCTGTGTGGGAGCTCATTGGCATTGATCTCACTGGTCCACTCCAAAAAACATCTACTGGGTATCAGTATATATTGACAGTCACTGACTATTTTTCCAAGTGGGTGGAGGCCTTTCCTCAAAAGACAAAGTCTGCATTGGAAGTAGCCAAAAACCTTTGTACAGTCGTTTATAGACATGGCTGCCCTAAGAGCATACTGTCAGACCAAGGACGGGAGTTCGTCAATTCAATTCAATTCAATTCAAATTTATTTGTATAGCGCTTTTCACAATACATATTGTTTCAAAGCAGCTTTACAGAAAGTGCATTTCAGAAATGTACATAGAAGAATATAGTTAGTTAATCATCATGTATTAATTTAGGGCATAACATATCGCCGGCGTTGAGTCGTCTCTTCACAGGCGTCGAGTCGTCTCATCGCAGGTGTTGGGGCATCTGAAGTCTCCGTGAGAGTCTGGATACAAACTGGAGCTGACGAACGCTATTTACCTCGGGACTAGCGTCCCGAGATAACAGCAGAAAAGCAGATGGGAAATAATTAGCGTAGCTGCTGTTCATAATATTAATGCATTCGATCTGATTCAACAATAGAAGGTAAGCATTATGTGAATGCTTGGCTAAAGAGATGCGTCTTTAATCTAGTTTTGAACTGGGAGAGCGAGTCTGAGCCACAAACAGTATCAGGAAGGCTATTCCAGAGTTTAGGAGCTAAATGTGAGAACGCCCTCCCTCCTTTAGTGGACTTAGATATCCTAGGAATGACCAGAAGCCTCGAATTTAGTGATCTTAACGAACGCGATGGATTGTAGGGCGATAGAAGGTCCATTAAATACACAGGAGCTAAACCATTTAGGGCTTTATAGGTCAGTAAGAGTACTTTGTAATTGATACGGAACTTAATAGGTAACCAGTGCAGAGATGATAAAATCGGTGTTATATGGTCATATTTTCTTGACCTAGTAAGAACTCTAGCGGCTGCATTTTGCACTAACTGTAGCTTGTTTATTGAGGATGCAGGACAACCAGCTAATAAAGCATTACAGTAATCTAGTCTCGAGGTCATGAATGCATGAACTAACTTTTCTGCATCGGAAACAGATAGCATGTTACGTAATTTAGCAATGTTTCTAAGGTGGAAAAAGGCAGTTCTTGTAACATATGAAATATGATTTTCGAAAGACAAGTTGCGGTCTAGTATAACACCCAGGTCTTTTACTGTAGTCGATAAGGTAACAGGACATCCTTCTAAATTAAAGTTGTATTGTAAGAGATTTTGTGGGTAGTTTTTTGGACCAATAAGTAATACCTCCGTTTTATCTGGATTTAATAGCAGGAAATTACACGTCATCCAGCAATTTATATCTTTAAGACATTCTGTCAATTTTGATGAGTTAGTGTTTTCATCTGGTCGTGATGAAATATATAATTGAGTGTCATCAGCATAGCAGTGGAAATTAATTCCATGTTTTCTTATAATATTACCAAGTGGCAGCATATATATTGAGAATAGCAGAGGGCCTAACACCGATCCTTGCGGCACTCCATAGTCTACTGACGTTATCTTCGATTTTTCCCCATTTAAACAAACAAAATGGTAACGGTCCGATAAGTACGATCTGAACCAGCTTAATGCCTGTCCCTGAACACCAGTGTAGTTTTGTAGTCGATCCAAGAGTATTTTGTGATCTATAGTGTCGAACGCAGCGCTAAGATCGAGTAGAACTAATATTGAGACACAGCCTTGGTCAGAAGCTAAAAGTAAATCATTTGTAATTTTAACTAGCGCAGTTTCTGTGCTATGATGCGGTCTGAATCCTGACTGAAATTTTTCATATATCTCATTTTCTTGCAAGAAAGAGCACAATTGAGCGGACACAATTTTTTCTAGTATTTTAGACATAAATGGAAGATTTGAAATGGGTCTGTAATTTGCTAAGTTATTTTGATCTAATTGCGGTTTCTTAATAAGAGGTTTTATTTCAATCAAGTAAGCTTCACTTTATGCATTTTGTTCTGATGATGTAATTTGTGATTTGGTGCTCAACAAATAAAGATTTATTGATTGAAATATTTGACAGAAGTACTATAAACCAAATATAAATAATGTTCTGATTTTTTTTTTTAGATCAACAGCTCACTTTGTGTGCTGCTCTCTATTGAGAGGAGTGTTACGGCTGCTTACCATCCCCAAACAAATGGGCTTGATGAGAAAACCAATGATAACATCAAACGGTAAGCATTCCTTATTCTTGCGTTTCTTTTCAGGGTTTTGTTTATTTGGTTGCTCTTCTGATCATTATTACCAGAGTGTATTGAAAGTTGGTAGTTTCTGTCTTGAAATGCATTCATTTAGAAATAATTCTAAAAATTATTTTTCTAGGGCACTTAAAAAGCTTGTTAATGATCAGCAGGATGACTGGGACCAGTACCTGGATGCAAGTCTTTTTTCGCTGAGATCCAAAATGCAAACCACAACAAAATTCTCACCATTTCTTTTAATGTATGGGCGAGAAGCTGGATTTCCATCAGAAGTGCCTGTTGAACTGCCGGTAGGTTTTTTTCTTGAAAATGGCTTTCTGTCAGGGCCAAGCATCAAGTGACCAAACATTTTAAAAGATCAGCTTAGATAATATAGCTTAAAACAGTAGGGCTGTCACTTTTTACATTCGAAAATCGATTGCACAATCGATCGGACCAACCAATACAAGTTTTGAAAACGAAAATAGGGAATCGATTTTAACGGTCTTTTCTCGGAGCGCGTCCAGCTCGTCACGATACGCCCGCAGCGAACGTGCGTCACACAGCAACTGCAGGCTCTGACAAACACAAATAACAGCAAATTATACTTCTGCATAATGTTTCTCTTTTTACTACAAAGGTGTGAATTCTGCCCATATTCAGACAGTCTCATGCATACAGATACAGATTCGGGCTACAATCGCCTACGTAGCCAAAATTTGTTTGACATTTCTAATCGTAAACAGAGCCATGTTGAAGACTAGAGTAACGTTTTTCATTGATGTTATGGTAGTCCACTCTGCTTATTGTTTTTCGAGAATGTTGCACTCCTGTTTGTCATTGTGCACGAAACTTCACGCCAATAAATCATCAGGAATATTGCTGACTTTTGCGCGTCTCAAGCACCGTCTTTTCGTTCGTCCTAATGCCTGTTAGTTGTCCGTGGATTTGCCCATATTTGGCATTTAAATTGGAAACGTCTTTAGACATGGAAAATCGATTTTTCAATCGATTCAATGAACACTTATGTCTCAAATCGAACAGAATTGTTTCACGAAAGTAACAGCCCTATAAACCAGTATGATTTGAGGTTGCATAGCATATTACCCCAAAAGGTACAAACTGCTCCTCTTTTACCTTGCTCAGGTTTTCTGAATACCCCAACCACAATATATTTTCCTGTAACTCCCAGATCCCACATATATCCATTAGATGCAGTAGTTATATAGAAATGCAGATATATTGCCCACGAAGCTCGGCTTTATTGGAAACATGTTTAATATTGTATTGTAGATTTAATTTAGTGTAAAAGTCTATACTATGAAATGTACAAGTCATTATATATTTTGTTGTAGCTTTCAACAATTATACTCCCTGAAGACTGCAGTGAATTTCTCAGGCACAGTCAGAGAATGCAAGAGAGCACAAGAGAAAAGGTCAAGAAGAATATTGCACGGTCACAAAAAAAAAAAATGACAGAGGCATTTGCAAAAAGAGTTCAGAAAAAGTACAGAAATGTGGAGTTTAAAGAGGGAGATGAAGTATCTGAACATGAGAAAGAGAAGCAGGAAAGGCGGGAGAATGGAAGCAGACTACACTGGAACCTACACAATTAAGGAGATTTCAGGAAAGACAGCAACTTTACAAACACCACAGGGTGTCTGTCTTAAAACAAAATATAATATCAGTCACCTGAAACCTTATAAAAAAAGTAGTGCCAGCTTTCAGGTCCCAGCCCCAACCAGCTCTCAGGTCCCAGCTCAAGCCAGCTCTCAGGTCCCAGCTCAAGCCAGCTTTCAGGTCCCAGTTCAAGCCAGCTTTCAGGTCCCAGCTCAAGCCAGCTTTCAGGTCCCAGCTCAAGCCAGCTTTCAGGTCCCAGCTCAAGCCAGCTTTCAGGTCCCAGCTCAAGCCAGCTCTCAGGTCCCTGCCCCAACCAGCTCTCAGGTCCCTGCCCCAACCAGCTCTCAGGTCCCTGCCCCAACCAGCTCTCAGGTCCCTGCCCCAACCAGCTCTCAGGTCCCAGCTCAAGCCAGCTCTCAGGTCCCAGCCCCAACCAGCTCTCAGGTCCCTGCCCCAACCAGCTCTCAGGTCCCTGCCCCAACCAGCTCTCAGGTCCCAGCTCAAGCCAGCTCTCAGGTCCCAGCCCCAACCAGCTCCCAGGTCCCAGCCCCAACCAGCTCTTAGGTCCCAGCCCCAACCAGCTCTCAGGTCCCAGCTCAAGCCAGCTCTCAGGTCCCAGCCCCAACCAGCTCTCAGGTCCCAGCCCCAACCAGCTCTTAGGTCCCAGCCCCAACCAGCTGTCAGGTCCCTGCCCCAACCAGCTCTCAGGTCCCAGCTCAAGCCAGCTCTCAGGTCCCAGTTTGGAGTAGTGCTCAAGAACAAGGTGCAATAGAAACTCATAAGTTAGTTCCGACCTGTTGGTCGTTGGTTTACACCGGTTGGTCATCAAGTTGCATGTTTCTCCTATGACCCGTTCCTGGTCATGTTTCCATGTGTTCTTTGTTGAAAATGTAAATGGTACAGTTTTCATCTAAATATTAACAAGACTAATTTGAAATGTTCTGTGTTGCAGTCCAAAAACTTTGGTCTTCTAAAGATACAGGACAAGTGGAAGCGGTCGTGGGACCATACAAAATTTATGATACCTCTTTTAGAACACTATCGGGACATGGCTGGCTTTCAGATGAGGTGAAAGTACATCCATGTGATATACAAGTTTGTAATGTAGCCATGTAATTAGTGGGATAATGTGGAGTGAGGCAGTTGTTATAGCGAATACCACCCCTCCAGGCTGATTAAGATTTCGCTATAAGTATTCGCTATAACAACCGCCTCGCTATACATTATCCCTTACTTAATTCCGTGTTTCAGTGCTGTATCAAATTAAATTACTAACAACTTTTTTTGTTTACACAGATCATTGATGCATACCTGCACTGCATTATGAAATTAGCCAAGGTAATAAATGAAATTTCTGTGTTTTCATTCTGTTGTTAGAAATACTGGATTTTAACAGACCAATACTGTTACAGATACCTGTGCATTGTTTGAATGCTGTACTTGGGTCCTCTGTCTTTCATCGTGGCCATTTCAGAGTTTTTCAAAAGGTAATATGGTTTTATTACAGACTATGTAACCTTATACACATGCATGTTGGAACTTTGGATTTTAAGTGCTCTCTTCTATTTTTAGATGAAGTTGCCCACAGCTTCAACTTGGATTTGTCCTGTAAACGTTGGAGGTCACTGGATTTTAGTGGTACTTTTTTATAAATTATTTTCTTTTAGTAAGATACACAGAAATAGGTTATGAAGGGATATGCTGGTAAGTGTGAAAACTAACAAAAAAAGGATACCCCAACACTTGCTGTTGGGGTATCCTTACTATGCTGTTTCGACCTATCGAAACAGCATACCCCTTTATAAACTGTATTTTTATTAAACCAAGGCCTATCAAAACAGCATACCCCTTTATAAACTGTATTTTTATTAAACCATGGGGCTATCAAAACAGCATACCCCTTTATAAACTGTATTTTTAATAAACCAAGGGCTTTAAAACAGCATACCCCTTTATAAACTGTATTTTTATTAAACCATGGGGCTATCAAAACAGCAAAACAGCATGTTCTATTAAACAATGGGGCTATCAAAACAGCATACCCCTTTATAAACTGTATTTGTATTAAACCATGGGGCTATCAAAACAGCATACCCCTTTATAAACTGTATTTGTATTAAACCATGGGGCTATCAAAACAGCATACCCCTTTATAAACTGTATTTGTATTAAACCATGGGGCTATCAAAACAGCATACCCCTTTATAAACTGTATTTTTATTAAACCATGGGGCTATCAAAACAGCATACCCCTTTATAAACTGTATTTCTATTAAACCATGGGGCTATCAAAACAGCATACCCCTTTATAAACTGTATTTTTATTAAACCAGGGGCTATCAAAACGGCATACCCCTTTATAAACTGTATTTTTATTAAACCATGGGGCTATCAAAACAGCATACCCTTCACAAACACTGGTATGCTGTTTTGACAAAGTAGGCTAAATTGACAGACACCGCTATAAAACTCAACTTCCGGTATGCTATTCTGACAAAGTATGCTACATTGACAGAACACCGGCTACAACTGAGTTCCCACGGGACTTCAGCGCGAGACTACAGCTTGCCGTCTAAAACACTATTCAGGTGAATTTAAACAATGGCTAAGTTGCTAAACGCATCTTGTTCACATGTAAGGCCCCCGTTCATGTTGGACAGACATTTTAATTGCATTTTGTGTCTGTTAAGAGGTACAAAGACACACTTTTTTTTATGCCCCCATAACTGCCGTTTTGAGCAACCCCAGAGTGCAGTCTGGACGATGGGGCGGGGCGACACTTTTAGGCGGGGCGACACGTGTCGCTCCGCCCAACCCCAATTTAATTGGTTTATAATACCGCAATCTTATTGGTGTAGACGATTCAAGTCTGAGCATGCGCATTATTTTATTTACGAATGGTACGAGTTTATGAATGATCTAGTACGACGCTGTTTGGCCATAGGCCTACTATATTAAGTGATAACTATTGCGATTTCAGTAACGATCAATTGGATAATGTTTTGATGAACTTACGGATCAAGTTAGATGAAGTTACTGTCAAAATGTATTCCTATAGCGCTCAATTCACTTCGTTTCAAAGCAGCTTTACAAAAAGTCATATAAGCTTTAATATTGAGCAGTTTTATGGCTTGGCGATATCACAAAATATGTTGCTGATAAATGATACACTGTTTGAGATTTAGCCTATAGCTATACTATACCCTGCAGATAAGTCAGTGCCACTTTTGGTGGGCAATGACAATGAGCATGACTGCATGAAATTACTGGCATATCAAAGGAGAGATAATTTCTATAGGCTGATTTAGACAATATGTTTTCGCATGTCATGCAGGGCTCCGTAATTTTACATCATTTGTTTATGCTTCTTCGTTTTTCCATTAGGATCAGTGAATAAACACAAATTCTGGATTTTACACAAATGATGATAATTTCCTGTATTTCAGTAAAAACATTGGATAAATCTGAAAGTGTTTTATTTTATTTTAAAGCAAAACCACGGTGACCAATAAGACAATAATAGGCTACCAAATCACAAGCCCTGGGCATTGGGTGCGTACAATGGGAATAAAATCCGTGCAGCGCTGCAATGGTTTTTTACTAAAACAGATGTTATTATGTCGATCTATAGCAAATATTATAATGTATGTGCTCAAGAGCGTATTTAAGCAATAGGCCTATAAATGTTCATATAAATTCTCTGCTGGGTATTTTATTTATTTTCTTATATTATAATTGCACAGATTTACAGCAGTAGGGTTTTTTTATGGTTATGTAGCTATAGCCTATGTGAGTGTTAATATTTGAAACCATTTTTTCCCCGTAGCCTACACAGTATACTATATAATTATTAGTATTATTATACGATTATTAAAACATGAACACGCAATGCGATGGTGGATGGATAAACAATTGCATTTTTAATATACCTGATGTCAGTCACAGATAGACAGTCGTAGGCCTACATATAACCGGACACTTATTAGAAAACATGAATCTTTAAAAACTATAACATAGAGTTTACAGAAACAATATATAGGCCCTCATATTTTATGAACAGGTAGGCCTAAATAACCAGGAAACATGTTTGCCATTAAACATTTTATTTGCACTTTGTACCAAATAGGCTAATACAAGCATTGGACAACAAATGTCGTTTAAAAAAGACAACAAAAAACGGTCGTGCTTTAGAATTTAAAATCAGCTGCTTACATTCTTACAGTGAATTATCATCATTTGCGTAAAATCCAGAGTTTGTGCTGATCCAGCGATCCTGATATAAATAAGAAGAAGCCAGTGAATGACGCGCTAATGTAAAACATCTCCCTAAAGTACAGGTGCCGTCACCAAGCGTTCGTTTTTAAACAACAACTTAATATATTCTCTATTATCTATAATAAAGTATTAGCCAATAATAGATCATAACAAAAATTACCACGGTAAACCTATAATAAGATATGATTAAAGTTAGCATTTAATATTTCTTTAATACGGCCAAATCATTCACAAAATCGTACATAAAAGAATGCGCATGCTCAGACTTGAATCGTCTACACCAATAAGATTGCGGTATTATAAACCAATTAAATTGGGGGTGGGCGGAGCGACACGTGTCGCCCCGCCTAAAAGTGTCGCCCCGCCCCATCGTCCTGGAGCTCTGGGCATTTGCGGGAACAGCTCCGTGTGGCAAGCACCGATCCGGTTCGTTTTTTTTTTTTATATAGACAGTACTCACAAAGGTGTAACGATCGAGATTAACTTAAAAATTGCCCGGAGTTCTCCTTTAACTCAACTCATATCAAATCAAATAATTTCTGAAATTGACATATCTATATCTTTCATATGTCTTTATATATTCAGATTTCATATAAAAAAATCACTCACCATAACGAGATTGCATCACATATTCACTTAAAGAAGATTATCCAATACAGATTTTCACTCTGGGATCCTTCGATTTCCACTCCACTTTTCTCTCTCTGACGACACACCAGCCTGACGCATCCAAGTTTCCAAGTACACTCAATCACAGTTCCCGTTCGATTATGATTTAGTGAAAGGAGTTTCTGGAGAAATGCTCCGTGTGCTGCTGCCTCGTCTGACCTGTTCTCATTGATTCCCTCATCTCATCTGTTCATGCTGACTGACCAGCGGCGCCGGCACGAACTGTGGGCGGGCCTAATGAATATGCCGCTACTGTTGGCTCTCAGGGCGGTGTCAGTCACTGCAGCACAATCAGTGATTGGATGAATTGCGTTCTCTTACGAGAGTACTCTCGTACTGCGTAATATCTTACGCTATGGGGAAAACCTCTTTTCCACGAGATATTGAAGCCAAAAAATTATCCTTAATTTTGTATTAATGTAAAATGCTGTGCAGCAGCATGCAGACATAGGCAAGGCGGCTTGCGCGCCTATTGGCTGCCCTGCGGCAACAGCAGCAGCCTATCGAGAGAGGCGCTACGTGACACCACATCCAATGGGGGCAATTCGCGCCCATTTCGTCACGTCCCGCCAGAAAGGGCGTGGTCTCGCCCTATAAATATAGCTCGATTAGGCTGGCACAACTGATTTTCATCTCTTCAGCGAAGCTGCACGCATCGCTGGATCCAGAGTGAGAAGCCGCGCCATCGACACAAGCCTTCTGCGGGACGAGCCTTGAACCTGAAGCCGCTGGCCTTCACCTCGCCGCCTTCAGTCGCCGTACCTGCTACGCTTTCCGGCGTCAATATCCTTTTACTCTGCTGAGAGTGTGTGTTCGCCATCGCGACTCACACTCTCTCTCTCTTTATCTAAAAGAGCAGCGTCTTTTTAAAGATGCTTCGTTCCTGTGGCTCGTGCCGAGACGCACTCAGCGACGGGGACCGTTTCATCTGCGTTTCCCGCCTGGGTAAAGATCATGCAGCTCTCGCGCTCGCTGAGCGAGCTATTGCCATGGTGACTCTGAGGACTCGCCTGGCATTTTTTCTCCGAGTCTGCACTCCCGCCCGCTGTAGTGCCGCGCCGTAAAACGCCGTACTCAGCGGGTCCCCGAGCCTTCTCCAGCCCGTGAAAGCTCGCCGGTTCGCCCGTCAGTTTCACCAGCTTCAGTCGAGTCGCTCACTGACGGACAACGGCCGCCGCGCGCCGCCGCCTCCGCCATTATGACGACGAGATAGCTGCATCTGTAGAGAAGACCAGCTGCTCTATCCTGGCGTCGGACAGTGAGGATGGGGCGAGCTCTGTGGACCTCCCCCCCTTCTGCCCGCGAGTCGTCAGGGAAACGGGCCAGCATCAAAACCGCGGCTGGCTTTCTTTACGTTATAAGAAAGCTACCCCGCCCCCGCCCCCCGTGGGCGTGCGTCACCGGCGAAATGAGGAAAGAGTGTGTTTTAGTCCCGCTGAGGCCGGACCAATCTCCATTTCTCAAACATTTCTCAGCTCCTCTTAGTTTGAGCGGCTGAAAATGTCAATATTGCAGCAGTGAGCCTGTTGTATAACACGCACGCCTGCAAACAAACGCCGACACACACAGAACTGTGATGACGCTCTCTTATCTGCTCGACGCCCCCCGTGGGCGTGCGTCACCGGCGAAATAAGGAAAGAGTGTGTTTTAGTCCCGCCGAGGCCGGGCCAATCTCCATTTATCAAACATTTCTC